CCATTCTAGGGAACCCAGCAAAACTAAAGAGATTTATTTACTTTGTACAATACTTTTTTCTTCATTGAAATTTTAGAGCAGCCATTGTTTATATAACAATTATTCAGTTATATATGCTGTCTTTGTTAGTTTCATATATGGTTTAGAGTCTATTGACTATAGTTGGATGTATATGGTCATATAATGTAATGTTTAAGTTTGTTGCCTATGGAGTCAAGCTGCCTACAGTCAAATCTTGGTTCTTTCTAAGCTTTGTCTTGCACTGTCACCCTTGGGTAAGTTTTTTTATTTTATTTCTTTGTACATCAGTTTCCTCATCATAAAACAGGAATAATAGTACAGATGTCATTCGGTTCTTGCGAGTTCCTATACACACAGGACTTAAGACAGTCCCCTGGCACAGAGTGCTTAAATAAATATTAATTACATATACATACAAAAATATAAAATGATAACATATGCAGTTATAATGTATTCCTCATATGATTTCAGTGTTTTCAGTCAACAAAAAACCTCTACCTGTTGCATTTTCCACAGTGACTATTACTATTTTTGTTTGTCTAGATTCTCCTACACTAAAATTAGTACTGAACAGATTTTTTTTATATTGTTAAACAAATTTATATCATTTCACATGGTGTTAGTGTTCAATTCAGTCTTGTTTGTAGTGTCAAATAGATGGAGGTAAGTTTAGTACCCATCAAGTGTGGAATAGACTGTAAATTGACAGTGTATGCCTATGTTATATATATAGGTTTATGAGTTTGTGGATATGATTTAATGCGACGAGAAGAAATAAAGTGGATTTTGTATAGCATCATGCTTCAATCTAAAAAAGTATAAGTAAAACATGTTTTTGTTTAGTGCACAGTACTATTTGTGTATTAAAGATATAAAAATAAATAAGCTTATGGATAATGGATTGGAAGGATGTACACTAAAAACACTATTGTGAATATTTATGATGGAAAGAAGAATGGCATTGGGTTGGAGGGCATAGGGGAACAATGGTAATGGCACACATGGATTATGGAGTATGATTAACTCAAAATTCTGTATACCTGAGATCCTAAAAGAAAACAAAGACAAAAGTCACACACATTGCCTTGAGTTGGCTCCTAGAAAACAGTGTCTAAAACAGATTTGTGTGCAGGAAGTTTTTTTGGCAAGTGTTCTCAGGAGCAATGCCTGTAAAGCAATGAAAAATATTAGGTAGAAGGAAAAAGTTGAGCGATGATGAAATTGCAACAGAGATCTCACCCAATCTTAGGAGAGAGCCCTGGAACTGGAATAGTTCTTCACAGTCATCTAAGGGGGGATGGACTTTATAATTGCATCAGCCAGTGGCTAGGTGTGGGCTGACTCTGAGAAGACAAAACCCCCAGCAAAGCAGCAGTTGGGTTGGAGGTATTAAAGCATCCAAAGTGATGTAGCTGAGAGTTACCAGCAGCCAACACTCCCCTATGAATCCATTGGTCCTGAAGAAGTTTCTGGGCGCTACACCACAGCACCAACTTACATATGTGCCTGTGATACACACACACACACACACACACACACACACACTCAAATATGTTATTGGGAGACTTTTTGAAAAATACATTTCAAATATCAACAAGTATTGTTTTAATTATGCACTATTAAGCTGATGTAAATTTAGCCCTCAATATTTCAAAATCTCCTTACGAACTAGAACCTAACCAAGTTTCTTAAAGATCATAGGTGCAATCAGAAGATGTAAGAATGAACCATGAGTATTAACTCCAAGCTAGTTTAGGACAGCCACATGAATCTGCTTTTCTTCCTCTGAAAAGAATAATAGGAGAACATTCAAGGACAAATAAGCAAGAAACAGAAATTACTTCACCTAACAGTGCTGAGTAGCCAGTAGGTATTTCATTTGGCTATCTTTTCTTTCTCTTACAGTAGTCAAATTGTATTTTTAATAAGGGGGTTGAATTTGAGGTTATTTATTTAGAAAACACATGGTATCTTAGAATATTGAATGTTCTAGGTGCTTTACAAATATGAAGGCATTCAGTCCTCAAGACAATCTTCAGGGTAAATACTATTATTATCCCCATTTAATGGATGAGGAAATTGAAACACACAAATAAATTGACCAAGGACACAGAGCTACTAAGAGCTGGGGTTTATTTCTAAAGTCTGTCATCTTAAACATTGGATGCATGTGGAAACTGTGGTTTCCAGTTTCCAGTCTGTGGAAACTGACTTTTACTAAAACATATTCACGGCTCTCACTAAACATTTGAAGGGATGCATCTACTCTATGTCTTTACTGTTCTCTGTGTCTTTTATTGGCCCACGATTTAATATTTTATATAGATCTGTTGTACAGTTCCATCTATCACAGAATAAAAATTTAAAGCTAGAGGATACTTCGGAGATCATTTAGGCCAATCTGTCACTTTTATAGGAGAGGTAAAATGAGTATCTGAGGTCAAAAGCCTAGTGAACAGCATGTCCAGGATTTCTATCTCCAACATTCAGTTCTGTGTTCTTTCTCTGCTGCCATGAACCAGCTTTCTCTGGTTGAAAAGGCGTCTCAGTTGATTTAATTACGAATCCCCCTTAGTTTCCCTTCATGCACTATTTGGATAAAGTCAGTTACTTCATCCAAAAAGGCCCCTTTCTCCCATTGAACATGCTTATGTCTTTAGCCCTAGCAGTAGAGAGCATTATAGTTGGATTTTTTTCCTCAGGCATAGAATTGCTTTTAGAAGGAAAAGTAGAAAAGAGGAGTGATTTTCATTTGAAGCTAGCTTTCCTGAAGCTTCCTGTGTTATTAAAAAAGCTTCAGGTTATTAGAATAGAAAACAGGAAAAAAAGTGTACTCTTGCTAACTCCAGAGATTAATGCCTGTGAGAGCTGACTGTAGCTTGAAATTTTTAGCTCCACACATGTGTTTGATGAAATTGTCACATGGCCTATATATGGGAAGCAAATATTTATTGTCAAAAATAGTCTGGTCTCTCTTGACTTGCGTTAGCTTCCTGCAGCTGGGCAGAATACATTTTCACATTGGATTAAAACATAATAAGAATGCATTTTTGCTAGACAGTTGTAATTCAAATATCATAAGATTGAAAAGAAGGTCATTACCTTACTTAGGCCTCGGGATCTCTCTGAAGGCTCCCCTCTCATGCACACTTGCTAGGCTCTACTAGAGATGATCCTCAAAACACAACTCTCCTTAAATGCCTTTGTGTGTATCATACCGATTGACTCAAGTCCATATTCCATGTCTGCCCACTTCATTAATAGCTCTGTCCTCCTTCAGTGAACAGATCTTCTCTGACTCTTTTGTTTCCCTGATGTCTAGCACAGTGCCTGAAACATAGTGTGTGTTCTGTCATCATGTGTGGATCTGAATATTAACTCGTTGCCAACACACTTTGCATATTCTGATATGAAGGTGGTAAGAGAGGAAAGATGAATGTTTTTGTGGTCATTTCTTAAAGGGGCAAATAATTGAAAAAAACTTTATCTCCAAGGCAATAAGTCTGTTTTTTGATCCCTTAAGTCATATAAAGGCTATGCGTTTTTAGATTCACTTTATTCTAGGAATTTCCAAGTTGGCATACTCAAACAGAAAGCACTGTTTAGGAAAGAGGACCAATCCCTAGAAATCTCAGTTGTGGGCTGATTTCAGAAAACACTAATACAAATGGTGTTACCCAACGACTGACCAGTTGGATTGTATTAGGCAGTATCTCAACCTGTTGTGTTTAATGGGCATTTATAGTATAGGGTTTGGCCCATGATGCTGTTTGAAGCAATCTTCTCTTTACACTACACTGGGTATACAGTTCTTTTTTTTTTTTTCTTTTTTCTACCTGTGTGATTTATGTGTCTGTTTTCCACAGCTTTTGTTTTGATATCAGCAACTGTTAATCCTTCAAAGTCCTGCAGTTGCAATGTTAACTACCAAGAGCTTTGATTTGCAATTGGCATGAGAGTATGCTTTAACCATTTCCTAATAATTCTGATTTGGTTTTGAATGACAAGTTTTTTTCCTCTAAAATCCTCAAATACAGAATTCCTCTAACACTTCAATAAGAATATGTTCACTCTAATCTAGGCCTCTGAGTTTACTTCCTTGATTTTACATCAACCTTTAGTTAAGGCTAATGTTTAATGACTCTTAGTTTCCCTACTGGTAAAGTACAATTAATATTTATTGCTTCTATGGATTATAGATATATACATATGAATATATATGAACTTATATGGATATATGTGGATATATATAATTGTTGGCAATCAGTAATACATTTTATTTTTAATTACCCTATATATTAATGAAGAAAACATATTAAAGGCTTATTTCAAGGTCATTATAAACAATGTAATTTCACTTGTGTGTTCTTATAATGACTACTAATGTCATTGAAGCCATCTAAAAAAATTATAGGCTTTTAATGCCTCTAAGGTATAGTTCATTTTTTGCATAATTAATAAGAATAATATAATTCTTCAGCCTTGATAGAATCTATGATGGTGATTTTGGCACCATTAAACCTTCATATGAAATATTTTTTTAAAAAATTATGGATGGGTGTCTTTGGAGCAGGTGTGTATGGGGAGGATGGCATGAAGCTGGAGTTATTGAAAAGAAAACTACTAGAAATAATGTGGGTCAGTCCAAGTGTGTGTTAGCTTATCTACTGAGAGACACGCCTCACTAGTGAAAGTGTTTGCAAAAGAGTATAAAGTCTCTGAGGGAAAAAAAATGATCTAACATTTAGCTCATGTACAGGTAATTCATTCTTTATAGGACTTTAGGTGATAAAGGCTAAAAGTTATTTGTGGTTTGCTTTTTTATCCCAGGTTTTTCCTAATTTTGAAAATATTCCAGGATCCTGGCTTCGCTTAGAGACATCAAGCACTTGCAACTGAAGGCTAAGAAACTGCTTTTTAGATAAATAGAAAAGCCTAGGCATTAACTGACTATCTTTTTGGAACATGGTGTTTTTCAGGGAATGATGTACTTGGAAGAAAGACGGCTTGTTCATCGGGATTTGGCAGCCCGAAATGTCTTAGTGAAATCTCCAAACCATGTGAAAATCACAGATTTTGGACTAGCCAGACTCTTAGAAGGAGATGAAAAGGAGTATAATGCTGATGGAGGGAAGGTGGGTATCTTTTTAGAACAATATTGCTTGAAAATATAGTTTGATATTCTTTTATCTTCTTACATATTATAGGAAGAAGCCACTAAGTCTGAAGTTATGAAAGTGTAAAATCTCAATTCTACCATTTGCCCTCTCTCTCACCCAGGGTCAAATATATCATATATACCAACATCCATTTCTCAAAAGTAGCCAAAATAAGACAGTTCATCTCTAGTGGTCCTTCTGTCACATCCAGTATTGGGAAGTGGGTGGATCCTTAGGCAATTTAGAAATTACACTTTAATCCAGGGCCATAGTAATTGTTTCATTGATCCTAAGAACACAGGACTGACCATACAGAGAGACACAACTATTCTTTCATAGATTAGGGAGAAGCCTGACCACTACCAAGAACCATAATTCATTGGAAAGTTCATCCTTCTATTTAGCTTCTAATCCTCTTACACCAGATATAACAGATTCCTCTTATCTGGCTCTATTTTTTTAAGCTTTACTGTAGTATATGATTGACCAATTTGCTTTATTTATTACCTCATTCTCTCCACCAGAATATAGGCCACTATATCCCAGGGGTCTTAACAGTACCATTCCTCTTCTACTTTTCTGACTCTCCAGCCTCGGGTCTTGCCTGACAACTGTGCTCCTGCCATGTAGTCTCAGTGTAGGCCTTAGTTCCAGCTCTTGTTTTTCCTCGTTAACCCACTGTTTAGACTTGGCTAAGGATATCTCCTCTCCATCTGGAGGTCCTTCTAGCTTAATGTGGGAAAACTTAGATCAGGAGAGGCCAGATGAAATAAGCAAATGCATCCTTAACCTATGGTGACATATAAACACATGCTAACAAAAAAAAGTGATCGATATGTCATTTAAATATGTTTATCATGTGCCTTATTTATATGAGCCATCCAAATATATATTACAAATATTTTGCAATGATGGGCTTCCAAATGCTTAACATTGATTTTTATATGTCATGTAGTATATGATTTTTATATCTTTATAGGATCTCTTATATAACTATGTATATTCAGATCTTATCACAAGACAAATTTTTAAAAACTTCAGTTTTGTAGTATTTCCTAATCTTTCCTCAATTTTATCAGACTGTTTTGCCTGTTTGCTACCAAATTGTCGCAGTTTGAGACCACAGCTTTGAAATTCACTACAAGATTACACAGTAGAAGTCTATAAATCACATGACTTCACTTGTCTTAAGAACATATAGCTGTAGGATTTGTCTAAAGCAAGATTCATTATAGCTTTAAATGCCTAGTAACCATTAAGTCTTTATCAAGCCACCTGTGATTTAAACTTACTTCTTTAACACCATGTCCGTAGTCCATAAAGTCAACTATCTCCTTGCCTGTAGGGAAATCACTTTCAGTGTGTATTCTGTTCCCTTTCACTGAATACCATGATTCTGTCATACAGTTACCTTGGTGTCACCTTGGTGAGCAGCAAACCTCATGATTTCAAAGACCTATTTAGTTTTAAGCTTTCTACTGCAAAGTAGAAGTGTTTATCTTTATTCCATAGAATCTAATTATATTTCCAGCTATATAATGCTGCCCTTCCTAGTTGAAACTTATTCTGCTGACCCCTCATCAGCAGGGTATGTGAGTAGTGATGTAGATTTGTACTGATCCTCTCACATTCTTTTATATAATTCCTAGTTTGAAAATGGTACATGTTTTCAATCCTGGCTAACCAAGACAAGGGAGATCATTTGTGGCTGGGGAACAAAGCAAGCCTAACTCTGGAATTTGTTATTTTAGGTGTTTCAAGTGACCAACTTATATGAGAGGAAAAAGGTGGGGGCAAGTGTAGAAAGAGACCATCTTACTGGTGGCCAGAAATTTTCTGAGGGTAAAAAAGAATAAGTGAAAATGTAAGGAATCTCATTTTGGGACGAGAGGGTGGGGGAAATGTCGTAGATCATATTTTTAGAAGCACATGTCTTAAATGTTTAGAATTGATATTGTGAGTCATAATATTAACTAGTAACTGAATTAATTGCTGAACATTAATTAAGAACTATAGAAAGTGATACTATTTTACTTTTCATTGTTTATGAAGCTTTTAAAAATAAATATATCTTTAGGTTAATTCACTTTAAGAATTTTATAAATTTCAATTCACTGTTCTCTGTATTGAGAAATAACATCTTTATTATTAATATTATATTTGTATTTTCTATACACACAAAAAAACACAATCAAAAAATACAATTGAGGCAAACCCAGAGACTCATATTTTGGGAAAAGAATATAGGAATGACTTTTTATGTAACTATAAAACTTTTATTTTTTATTTCTCTTTTTATTTCTCAGATGCCAATTAAATGGATGGCTCTGGAGTGTATACACTACAGGAAATTCACCCATCAGAGTGATGTTTGGAGCTATGGTAAATAAATCTTCCTTGTGAATTAAGGGTTTTAAGGCAAAAATAAATATATTAGGCTCATGTAAAATATCTTAAGCCAACTTATTTTATTGTGTTGGAAATACCTACTTATGAGCCTTATTTCCTAAAGGAATTAACTCTTTGCTTTTCCACTTAAAAAAACAAAACAAAACTCTAAATTGTATCATTTATCTGCCTTTTTTATTATTCCTTGGTTCTCTAAAATGTAATATATTAAAATCTCAGTTGAGTTGTCTACCATAACCTTTGGTTTGGTAACAACTTTTCTGATCATTTTGACAGAAAAAAAAACAGCCAATTTTAGTTTAGGAACAATGTTATAGAGCCTCATAGCCTTGATTTTTCAAAACACTGTTTGAAAACATATGTTAAAAATAAAAGAATGTCTGTTCTATAATAAGAAAGGTTATTGTTGTAACGAAGAACAATTACAGAAAGCAATAAGGTGAGAGCAATAAATGTGAGGGGAGAGATAGGAGAGAAGATTTCTAATTGCAGCTTTGATTTTAATTTACAAACTACTTTGGAATAAACAGATATATTAGAGAATGAATAACATGAACTGGGAAAGGGTGATTTTAAACTTAGAGCATTCATTTAATTGCATTTAACTCAATTGGTGAGATGAGATACTTAGATCTATCTAGCTATTTACAACTTAAGTTCATCCAGGTATTAGTGAGAATGAATCAACACCTTTTCTAAGTTTAAATATGTCACAAAGAACCAATATTTCTTACAAATTAAAAGCATGATGCCCATTTAAGCAAAAAGGTGGTGTGACTTGAAAGCATGGTACAATTTAGTTTACTCAAATTTAAGTCTAGCTTTATCTTTGTTTTTGTTTTTAGAAAAAGACTTAATCCATTCAATCACTAGAGAACTTATACCTCTTATCTAGAAAAGCACAAATTATCTTAAAAAAAAAAGTTAAGACATTTCTGTAAAGTGTTTTTTACCTCCACACACCTATGCTGTTTGTTTAAAATTTCCACAAAGTCTCCATGTATTCTGCTAAGCTTCGAAGTAGAAAGTGTGCTGTGCTTGAGATATAGACAAGTATAGGAAAACGATTGAAAAATTTTAGTTGTTGAACTGTAAAGACTAAATAGAAACACAAATCTAGTATATATATTACATGAAACAAGTATATATATTACATGATATAGGTTTACAGATTATATTTTGTATGATAGACATATGTTACCATATAAATTTTGATATATGATATATATATATTATTTTTTTCTTTTCCTTTTTTCTATGTATGTTTCCCTCAATTAAATGTGACAATCTGCTGCAAGCAATTTTAAACGACATTAAAATAAGTACGTAGATAGATAGATAGATAGATAGATAGATAGATAGATAGATAGATTAGTACTCTGCTTTGAAACATAGTCCAGGTCATCAACCCATATCCATAAGGCATTTTAAGATTTTTATGATATATCATAGTTGATTGCAAAAGACATAAAAGGCAGAGAGAAACATAACATTGTTTACAATGCACCTTTGTGGAAAATTGCCACCATTATTTTAATAAAGATGCTATGGTTTATATGTTCAAATGATAGGATTGTAAGTTTTGAGGATGTTTCTAATTCAGTTTTCCTGGGATTGTCTGTCTACATGAGGCCATCTCTTTAACCATATCTTGTGGTCACTCCTGCAAAGATATAATTGGATTATTATTGGCAGAGGTGGGAGTTTTGCTCTTCCTACTTTTGTTTTTATATGTATGTGTTTCTCTTTTTTATATTTCTATTATTTTGATTTGTAATTGCTTTGCATTTTGTTTACATTAGTTCTTTTTTTCAGAAGTTCTGATAGAGATGTGAGAGCATCTATTCTTTTATAACTGCATACATAAGTTAACAAAATGGCCTCATTAAATACATATTCTATAAATATGTATATGTATTGACTGAATAGAAATAGACAGCCATCTATGCACCTTTGCTTCTTTTTTTTTTTTAAGATTTTATTTATTTATTTGAGACAGAGAATGAGAGAGACAGAGA